TCCTGATTAAACCTCCTCAAAAGGCCCTGTATACTTCGGTGAATGAGAAGTCCATAGGGCCGGATTACCTCTTCGTGCGATGCGAGAATCATTGAATTTCCCTGTTGATGTGAAATCAAATAAGTTTGTCTGCCAAAAGACGGAGTCCCGCAAGTTTTCTCGGCACTTGGGGTAGCCAAGTTGAGAGAATCCTTAACAACCATGAGTTTGAGACCAGCCTGGGCAACTTGGTGAGACCTGATCTCTACAATAAATCAAAAAAAATTAGCTGGGCGTGATGGCACATGCCTGTAGTTCCAGCTACTTGGAAGGCTGAGGTGGAAGGATCAACTAAACCCAACAAGTCGAGATTGTGGTGGCCGTGAACGTGTCACTGCACTCCAGCCTGAGTGACAATGAGACTTTGACTCAAAAAAAAAAAATAATTATAATAATAATTTCTCCCATGACAGAACTTTATATTCTCAGGGCTTTCTATAAGATAAGAAAAGTCTATAACAATGGGATGGGTTCAAACTCAGCAGCCATGGCCAGGATGCTGGGCGCCTGGTAATTAACTGTCCATTTTAGTCATGTGATGTGATATGGGAAACAGAGTTTAGACTCACCTACATCTGAGGGGACACCAAAGATATTATACACAGCGAATATGAGGACAGGGCCACACTAGAGGAGGATCTAAGGTGTTTATTCATTTAAATAATAATGACAGGCCCTCTGAGTCTTCTCTGAGAGTCATGCTCTTAACATTGTGCTTCAGGAATCAATCCAATCATTTGCCATTGACTTGACTTAAGAGCTGTAGGTGAGAGGAAAGCAGGAATCCCCTTTTCATTTCTATACGAGCTTCTTCTAGAAACATTTAGGATGGGGCATATGGGAAGTAAAGCCCCGGAATGGAAAAAAAGCCTTCAGTCACTGAGTTTGTCCTCTCTTCGTTGTCTTTTGAATAATTGACAACAAAGTACCCAACTGTAATAACGAAGCGGCACATCTGTCCTAACAGCTGGGAACATTTGGATTGTCCCAAGTGAACCTGGACATTGAACTTGGTCAACAGTAGACAAAGGATAGCTCCACTGAACACAGAGTATAGTAAATGGAGGTAGGAAATGAGAGGGTTTTCTTGTTTTGTTTTGTTTTTGAGTCAGGGATTCACTCTGTCGCCTGGCTGGAATACCATGGCACAACCATGGCTCTCTGCGGCCTCAAACTACTGGGCTCAAGTGATCTTCCCGCCTCAGCCTCCTGAGTAGCTGGGACAACAGGCATGCGCCACCACGCCTGGCTAATTTAAAAAAAATTTTGTAGAGAAAAGGTCTTGCTATGTTGCCCAGGCTGGTCTCAAATTCCTGGGCTCAAGCAATCTTCTTGCCTCAGCCTCCCAAAGTGCTGGTATTACAGGCGTGAGTCATTTGGCCTCAGAAGTTTTTTTAGGCTCCCCAAAATAACCTTTTCAACAGAAAATGCAGACAAATACCTTCCACCAGTCCAACAATCAAATCTTATCCAGTGCAACAATCAAAATATAAGCAAAAATCAAATCCTGCCCTTACAGAATGTCTGAGAAATCTGACAAGCTGGATGGAAAGGGAATTCTGGGGAATACACACATTCTGGCAAGGCTGAAACAGCAATTAAAACTCCAAGAGCACTTTGCTGCCAGTTTTTCAGAGGGAAGGTTGAAGCTCTATATTCACCAATGATGCAAACATGTGCTAAAAAAAGAACAAGCTGAATTCTGCATGCTTCGGAGGGACATAAAGGGAAATTCAACTGTACGTACCTGATACTCAGGAATGGACCGAACTGCTTCCACAACGGCCAAGGACATCAGATGCTGGACAAATGGAATCCTCTGTCCCAGCGAGGATCTCAGTGGGATGGAGACGAGCAGGGTGGAAATGGCGCTTCCCACGGGGCTCAGCCATGCGTTCCTTCCCCGCCCTGGAACACAGGCCCTGTTGGACACTCGCTACCTGGCCACATTGGCAGACACAGACCCCTGCAGTGCCACAGTCACATGCTGCAGAGAGGTCCCATTTAAATAAACCTGGGCTTATTAGAATACTTGAGTATTCTAGAGTTAACTCCATAAAAGAAAAGCTTCTTAAAACTGGAAAGTCTGTTGCTGAAAAAAAGTTTCCGATAATTAGCATAATGTTCTGCTTCTGTGAGCATATCGTTTATGCTTTGATGATCCAACATCTTACAGTGTCTGAACGTGACTATAAATTTAATTCTCACCATATGGTCATGAAGGCAAAAGCAGAGACAATGGGAAACTGGACTGAATGTATGCTGATCTGTGAGAGGTCCCGGAAGCCACTTTTAGGAGTGATCCCTATTGTGGTGACAGTAACACAACCCAGCGAGTATGCTAGAAACCACAGAGTTGTACACTTTAAACAGAGGAATTGTGTGGTGTGTCAGTTATAACTCAATAAGGCTGTTTTTTAAAAGTGATCCCTGATATTAACTCTCTATGTTGTTACTTTTCTTGAAGTTAAAGTTAGGAAAGTAAAATAATCAAAATGAGAGGTAGAGTTCATCAAAGTTCTTTTAGAATATCTTTTTTTTAAATCCACATATTGAGACCCCTAGCTTTTGATTTTAATTTTTTTTTCTACTTAACTTATAAAAGACATGTTCTTTTATAAGGAAAACAGTAGGTTCCTTATGTCTTTGCTTCTTCTGAGAAATTTATAAGAACCTCTGATGGTTAAAAGCACATTTGGGGCTGGGCTCAGTGGCTCAGCCTGTAATCCCGCGCTTTGGGAGGCCGAGGTGAGTGAAGTGCCTGAGCCTGTGGGTTCGAGACCCGCCTGGCCAACTTGGCAAGACCTCATCTCTACAATAAATCAAAAAAATTAGCCGGGTGTGGTAGCGC